CCGGGGTGGGAGGGAGGTAGCTCCTGAGAAACAATTTGCCGGTGAAGACCCTCTCGAGTCTAAAGCCCAAACGTGAGCTGCCATTAGAGAGGTACTAATAAATCCCTGTTAAGCATGCATTTATGCAGTGATTACGTGAACTTTGGCCCTTGAAGAGTCCCTGCGATTAGCAGCGACGTCCATCGCGTTTTGCCCAGATTTCTCCCTACTCTTTTCCCATCATGGATGGAGAGGGGACTACAGCCCCGCGGCTCCGCCAGCGCCTCCAGCTGCCGGGCGCGTCTCCAACCGCCCCCCGCCACCCCCCGTCGCTGCCGGGGAGAAAGCAAGCCCCAAGCATCCCTCCCTTTGCCCCCGGACCCCCCCTTGAAAATGAAGGATCCCTTGCGGGAGGGTTTGTCTCGCACCCCCGTTTTTCGGGGGTGCCCGCCTTTACGCCGGCGTCGGCTGCGGCGCGGGCGCGGGGGAGATGCTGGGGTTTTGCTGTCTCCGCAAAACAGCGGAAAGCGGTTAAGATTTAGTAAAAACTGCTGTGCAAAAATGAGAGGAAAGTTGCCGTTGCCGGGGAGACAGCGAGAGGGAGAGGGATGACTCTGTAATTGTTGCCTTTACCAAGGCTGTGAGATTAACCACTGGGACTTATTCTAAAGTGACCCATCACCGAATTCATTTCTGCTTGAACTTTCGGTGAACCTGAGATTAAAGAGGGGAGAGCAGCTAAGCAGTTTGTTGTTAGCTGCCTTTTCAACAGCCCTTTCAGACTGAGTAAATATTGATCGGTTTCAATCTGATTGCCCCAGAGGAGAACACCAAAGCATCTCAATAGCCTCCAAAAGTAAACTTTAAAGGTGAACAGCAGAAATGGCCTTAAGTGTGATAGGAAGATGCTAAACTCCGTTTGACATTTGGACCCGGTTTGGGTTGGGGGTTTTTGGTGGAGTTTTTTTCTTCATTTTTTCCCCCGAGACTCTAAAGAGAAAAATTAAAATAAATTTTGAAAAGTGTAAAAAAAAAAAAAAAAAAGGATCCCTACGACCTGAAGGGCAAATTAGTGTCTCCATGAGGCCAAAACACGCTGTGATTTTTTTAGCGATCTTTTTGTGGTAGAAACTCTAAGCTAGAAATTTTCATTCCTCTTCCCCACACCCCCTGACCCGAAAGGCTGATCGTATCGAAATAATAATAACGCTAACAAAATGAGCCAGGATCGGGAGGTTTGGGGTGTCTTTGCTTGAAATCGATCCGGGCTGCGAAAAAAAAAGAAGATAACCCGGGGTTTGGGCTTGGGAGGAGACGGGATTCTTTGCCGATGAATCGCTCACCGCAGATTGACGCACTGACAAGTGTCTTGTCTCTCGCATTTAGGCTATAATTTATGGCCGCTCTTTCTAACACATTAAGTCAACACCGGGGGAGCCGGGTTGCAGATCCGGATTCCAGCAATGTTTAGATCCAGATTTCGATATTGAAATGCCCTCATTGGCATGCAAATGCCACTTTAACACATCCAAGTCTCTGGAAGAAGGCCATCTGTTTTGCTTTGTGGCTTTACACTAATAAACAAAAGGTAAAGTATATGGCAGGAGGGGAAATGAAAGAAATAGAGGCATCGGCGGGAGCCTTTGGAGACAGCCCTGCTCCCTTGCAGATATCTCGGCTCTTGATATGGCCGCCGCGCCTTGCAAATCAGGGCTTGTCTCTTTTGACACCGACGTGAAGAAAATTTCGTTGACTCTCTGCGGATCCCGCAAAGCCGAGCCTGCGTGGGCAGCCAGGCCCCGGGAGAAGCCCGGGAGCACTCTCCCGCAGCTGGGCCGGGTGACGGAGATGTTATGCGTGTTTATGCTGAAACTCAAGAGGCAGCAGTGACTTGAGACACCCCCCCCCCCCCGCCACCACAGCCCA